AGAGTGTGAAGTCAAATGGAGTGACGGCTGTTGCTACGGTGCCGCTCTTGTAAAATACCATTGTTTTGTCACAGTCTTGCACCATGTTATCATTAGAATTCCTTTTTTCCCTTCTTTTTTATGTTTGACTTGTGGTAGGCTATAATGCAGAAATGAATAATGGAAATGAGCTTGAAATCCTTCAGAAGAATTTGAAAATAATGGCGTTATTCTTTTTTCTCCCTTCCTCCTTCCCCTGCATAAGGATTTCTTATTTCTCAAAGTAATCCAACTTTCTTTTTTAGTATGTTTTGCTTCCAGACTTCAAAACAGGTGCTCTGTATGCCATGATACAATATCCAAAACTTATTCTGTATGAAGAAAAACATCAGACCGGCAGATAATGTCACCTTTTCCCTCAGTTCTAAGGCTGGCCTTGATGTTGCTGGTGTGAGCTGCAGCCTGGTTGGCATCTGGGTTCCTGGCTGAATACTTGGAAATAAGAGTAAATCCAAGCATGAAAGGAGATTTCATTCAGTCCCTTGTGCCTGCTCTGTCACTCCCCTGATTTTTTTACTGGTGGTGTGTTGTGTTTTGTTTTTTTTTCTTATCAGTCCTGAAGTGGTAAGGGCGCTGCTTTCTGAGGTGTCAGGGCATCTGCTCTGGCTCTTGCAGTGTTTCTTCCATCCATTCAGGTGGAAAGTCAGAGAAGAGGAAACAGTGCAAAATTTGTGTCTGCTCTGGGAACGGGCACTGCAGGGCTGTAAATCTAATATCAAGCTTTTGATGCTGGCATTGTTCCTCTGAATGGGATCCAAAGAGCAATCTAATGTTCTTACGGAATCGTGTCACCACATTAGATGATCGTTACTTCTAGTGAGCTCATTAAAAACTATTTCCTTGGCAGCATGTTCCGCCTTTCAAAAAACCTTTTTCAACATGGGCATGGTGCAAACAACAACAAAAAGTATTTTTCTTCATCAAGATATTACAACATCCATAAATCTGAACCTTAATGCCACCTGGTCCCTGCAGCTAAGGGGAAGGATACAAATCCCTTTCCGGGGTTTGCTTATGCTGCTTTGCTCCGACAGCCCCGGGAGTCGCAGTTTGTGCGGTGCTGTGGGTGAAATAGGAACCTGTAGGTCTGTGAGTCTCCTTTTGGGCTTCGTTTTCTCCAAAACCAGCGCAGGCTGAAGTTTCTCATCGCCTTGAAGGGCAGACCCAGAGCCTCTAGTCACCTTGTAATACCTCACCTAATAATTGGGTTTTACTCAATCAAAGCATGTTTTGAGAATTGCGAGTGGAGAGTCTGAGGGGCAGAAAGGGTTGGCACAGCCCTGTGCAGCTTGTAGGTACATCAGTCTAGCAGCATTAAATACTCTGTTTTGTGGCGAGGAGCCTGCATAATTTTGAAAATTTATTCTCAAGTGTAAATAAAACAAAATAACCCCCAGAGCAGCTCTTCTTTGCTATCAGGGAAAGATCTGTGGTGGTGTGTGAATTAAATAGTTTAGTGATGGTTGGTAGCTGTAGTTGTTACTCAACCCCAAGCAAAGTTCACCTGAACCCTGTTTTATTTCTCCCTGTTCTTTTGCCCTGTGGCTTTTGAAAACCTGTTAGAATATCCAAAGCCTGAGGGATGTATTTCAAGAATATCCATCTGTCTGTACTGTTTGCTTTGAGAGTCTCCTGGCTCATGCATAGCTTCTGACGTGCTTCAGTGCTTGAATAAAGAGATGCAACAAAGGAAAACACTCAGAAAATTTGATGTAATGTGTCACTAATGCCAGAAGAGGGTAGGCCAGTTCAAGGGAAATTTGCTTGACTTTTGTGTAGGTGGTAACTGGTTTTGGAAAAGTACTTCATGCACTGAAGACCTCTTCATTACAAGTCTTGGGGTATTTAGATTGTCCCTGTGGCTGTTGGTTATTTTTGTTTACGCTTATTCCTACTCCTGCATGTTTAAAAGCTCATGGTTGGTTTGGTCTTTTTCTCTTCCAGCTCCTATGTTAAGTTTGATATAATTCGAAGGATAATGACTAGGTTTTTTGGAATAGAAGTTATCATGGTGATGGGGATCACGGACATAGATGACAAGATAATAAGAAGAGCCAACGAGGTAGGTGTTTGCTGCAGTCTTTGAAACAAACTTTTGGTA